AGGTCAAGGTCATTTTCATTCTCAAACTTTGTTGGGCTCTATCCCAGGAAGCCATCAGCCAAATATGAAGATTCTTTACCATTTAGTTCTTTAGAAGAAGTCATTTGAAGTTTTTGACATATTTGACCCCTGTGACCTTGAAAACAGGTCAAGGTCATTTTCGTTCTCAAACTTTGTAGGGCTCCTACCAACGAAGCTTTCAGCCAAATATCATGACTGTAGGCCTGTCCGTTCTTCAGAAGAAGTTGTTCAAAGGAAAAGTTGACGGACGACGGACGCCGCGGCACGGCATAAGCTCACTTGGCACTTCGTGCCAGGTGAGCTAAAAATTAGCGACAGTTTTTATTTTGAAGTGATAATATGTGAGATTCAGTATGTCATTTCAAAAGTTTGAAATCCACTGTGTTTCAACTCCAAACAGATGAATCTGTATATAGTGTTTAGAAATTACCTTGCTTGCTCTTCTTAACGACATTGAGGAGGGGTGTTAGGGAGTGCATCCAGATGTTTGGCAGGTCCTTTGCTGCAGGATACCGGCAGCAGCTGACGTGGGCAGAGATCTATAAAGACGTACAGAGACAGGTATATCTACCATGTATATAGTGATACTTATTGACTGGGGTTTGAACCTATCCAACCTATGTGTTTTTCTGAGAAATACAGGAAGTTGGAGTACAACAAGCTACGCTAGATTAATGCTTTGGAAAAATCAGATCCTGGGATATTTTCTGAAATATTTCAACCAAAAACAAAACATTCCTATTCTGGATTCAAGATGATCCCCACAAGTAAAAAATACTCTGACAGTAATAATTTTACTTTTGCAGGCACTTTTTCTAAACATACCAATATCAAGCTGACAAAGTTTAATAAAACTGACTTATATTCGTTATATATTAGATTATCTTCACCTACAAAGTTAGTACAAAATAACCCTTTTTTGTACAAAATAACAGGGGTTGGTTTTAACAAGTTAACATAATGCTTGAATATCATTATCATGGCAGCATATATTCTAATGTGATGGAGAAACCCTTAAAATGAAAACCAACCATAAAATTGTGGTAATCTTCATAGGCTCTGTCTAGTATACCAGACATGTTCCTGATGAGATCACCACCGTGGAATATTCCGTGGGACACGGATGATTGACAGCTGTCAGGTGAATAGATAGAGGGGAAGCCGTCGGCGAAGGCGTGGGCCAGCGACATAAAAATAGCCTCATCATCAGTTGCTGACATCCGATCTCTCTTCCTCTCCCAAGGTATTCTGTGGAGCAGAGATATAAGGATTAGATAAACACAATGTTTTATAGGTTTAACGGCAACTTATTGTACCAACACCATCCCTATCCCCAAGCAACTATTTCAGGTGATGTCTGGGGTGGTAGCAGCCGTTTTCAAAATATCAATACCATAAGACTTTCCAGTGAGTCAACACACTCACCTGCTTTATGCTAGCATGGATTAAATCATATAACATTTCCCCTTCCTCATTGAAGAAGTTAGGGTTTAAGCATCCTGCTTTGCATCAAAACTCTATCAATCTTGGTATTTGAAATCACAATTGTACAGGCATTTTAAATCAATCTTTAATTCATAAGTTCCTTAAGAGTTTCAAATTTGTCATTGAAATTGTCATTCTAATTGCTCCCTTCAAATAACATTGGCTTTTCTAGCAGAAACTGACATACATGTACTAGCCCTTACATTTGCTAATTACCATTTATATTAATTTACAACTTTGCTGGATCAAACTGTAGGAGTAGTTATCAACTGCTGTTACACCCCCTTATCCCAATGAACGCATAAATTAATAAGTACATAAACTTCAGAAGCTCTTAATCTCAACCTAACTTCAGTTTTTTTGCTCGGTCATAAATCATTATATTCTTTCATTCTTCATTGCAAATCTTTGTACGATTTCAAGATAAATGACCACAAGAAAACCTAGATTATCCATGTCTTTTATATTTTCAAGTTTTTAATCCAAATTAAGACTTATTTATTAGAATTATAATTAATGTATAACAAAAATAATATTTGTTTCCACAAAATATGATTATGTGCAATAAAGCTAATTTTATCTGTACAATTTTCAAAATTTGCAGTTTATAGTGGAAATTTTGTGAAGACTTAAAACTTAATTAATATTGAGATCAATACATACTTAATTAATTTTGAGATCAATATTTAATTAATATTGTGAACAATCTAATTATAGGATACTTTCAGCTTCACTCTATTTACTTGGATGACAATACTTACACCAGAAAGAGGCCACCACTGTCCAGACTGAGAGTGAGGCTGAACTTATGGATGTTCATCTGCTGCCGAAGTGCTTTCATCGTGGGGCTCTAGAAGGGTACAATGATATCAGTAATCAGTACACAAATGTTGATATCATTTACAGTACACCCTCAGTTTATTACACCAGCACCTGTTTTACCTAACCACATGGCAACGTCTCCCTCAGTTAACACTAATTTCAGAGATGCCACAGTTGATACCATCAGATATTAAGTTCAAATAGTTTAGTTATTATGTAAGGTTGAGAACATCCCAATTTCTATATCCTTAAGGAAATAGCTTATAACCTAGATCTGCAAAATAAAAAAAAAGACAAGAAAGAAATACTGGGACTAAGTTTTGTAATACTATAGAAAAGATGATAACATTTGTCAGAATTTGGGCAAAATGATTGTCTTACATCAAGTGACAGCTGATTGGTCGACATCTGCATACTCATATCAGAAGTACAGTCAGTCGCTTGTTTGGCATCAAAACCTTCGACGTTCAGATACGGGATTAGATGTAGATGAAAATCATTGAAAATCTCCATCACATGATCATCCTTCTTATCGAAACCGCGTAGAAGATGGCGGATAAATCTCATCAGTATTTCTGCACCCACAGGTTCATTGCCATGGAGACCACCGATCAGGAGCACGTGTGGCTTTTTGTTTTCATGGACGTCCAAAACTGATGACAAATGAACCATGGGCACAGATTTTCCACTGACCAAAGTAACAAGGGTTTCCACTTGCATGACCTTCGAGTAATTCTGAGCAAGGCTCGCCAGTTCTGCTGACATCTGAGATAATGTGCGGTATTCGGTAGCCATATTTTCCTGGATGCCGTAATCTTTGTTCAGTGAAAAGTTCTCAAGTGGGCTCTTACTCAGTGTGAAGTTGACCTCTACAGCCGCATCAAAGGTCACATGTACTTGTACCGATTGGTTAGCATACCTGGAATGTACCAGAAAAGTCAAGGTCAAAGGTGCATCGAAAGCGATGGGAAGGTTACAGGCCCTGGGGGAGGGGGGGGGTTGAATTTAAATTCAGCCAATCTGCCATAATTCAGTTTATATCAGGATCAATACATAAACATGTAAAAAAGCAATAACTGTCTGCAGAAGCCTAAAATGTATGGTGATTAATAGCAGCTTACCCTTTGTCTAACACACATATCATTAGGCTGATAATAAAATACTCTAACAAGACAGTATCAAACACTTTGTAATTTATCACACATACATGTGGTGTCTGGCTGTTATTACATAATCCCCAGGTGACAACAGTCTCCAGTAGTCTCCCTCTGTTGCCGTGGTGATGGTGTGGTTGATCCCCGTGACTATGATTTCGGCATCAGCTAGACCAAGGCCGGTCTCTTTGTCCTTCACAAATCCTCGTACTCCCTTGTGTACCTAAAACATAAATCTTTGTCTTTGAATTTATGCAAATCTTTAATAGTGACATGCAGAATACTCTGAGCCTCAGGTAAGCAGTGAAGACTCTCCTATATACTTGAAAATTGCTTGCATATTTTAAACTTTTGCCCCCGTCATGATCAGTCTCTGTAATGCAGATGAATGCATCATGATGATAAAATGTATTCATGGTCAAAATGAATGCTAACTACACAAATTCTATGAAGTGTAACTAAGCACTTAATTTACTCCATTATAAATTTATGAAATACTTATTTTAATCATATCACATTATTTTGGAATTACAACTTATAAACAAACTATCTACGACCTTTAGAGTTACAACCTTTAACTAGAGTTTAACTTCACCACGGTGTGAACTCATTTTTTTTCATATGAACATCAAATTAATATGGCACATTCTATAGTTATATTGTATAGAGTAGCTAACAGCAACACAGGTAAACCTGGTCTTACCTGTCCCATGAAGACAAGTAGAGCGTATTTGTTGGCATCCCAGTACTGGGGCAGGTTGACGGCCATAGGATACTTGATACAGCCAAGCTCAAGTGTAATCTCCAAACAGTTAGTGAACGCATAGTTCCAGTCCTGCATCCCTCCTGTCATACACACATGACTACCATTACTCATTGTACAACAGACCATGTCAACCTTCTTTCATTTCATTTTGTAATTTAACATACAACCTAAATAGCCCTTTATTCAATTTACAAAAATACTTTATGGCACTTTACAGTAAATGAATAATGATTTCTTTAGGGTTACAGAACTACATAAAATATATAAAAGGTTTATTAATCCTTCACTAAGTCTATACAATTAGCAAACCAGTATTTAACACACATCCAAGGTTAAATCAAGGTCAGTGAAGAGGAGAATATAGGTCACAAACTTATATCTGATACATTGGTGAAGTAATCAAGATGAATGGAAGTTGAGTGATATTTGACGCTCTAGTACAGAAACGGGTTATCTTTTTATGTCAACATTTGCTTCAATATCCTGTTTCCATCTGACAAATGAGAAGTGATAATAAGCAGATTTCACCATATCAAAGATATGAAGCTAAAAGCAAAGTCTCATAAAGATGATGTATGGATGGAGGTAAGGACAGAAGGAAAAGGTAAACATATAATTACCACTCCACTAATGTAGCAGGGCATAAAATGGTCCAATAGGTATAACGTCATGATCATATGATTCATTTTTTAACTCTCTGTCCATCTTTAACTGTCTGTATTTGGAGAAGTGACACTATTGTATAAGGGTTAATAAACCTTAGTATGAACAAATGATATTTTTTTTTAAATGACCTATGATTTGACTGAGCTAGTCTATCAAGGAATCTATATGCTGTTGTGTTCCTACACAAACCCAAAGTGGTAAACAATGGTGCTAGAATATTGTAACAGAACTAAAGATGGCACAAACCTGCTACGCTATACCAGGCAGCTCCGTTCGTAATCCCATCCGTAAAGTACTCGTCACTCAGGCTTGTACACGGGTGACCATTGTGCATCGTCGAATGAGCCTAACAGAACGAAAGTTAAATGTCAAGCATGGTAGAATGGAACAATCAGAACAAAGGTTACATATACATCACGGCAAAATTGACCAATGGCAAGGTTACGTACAATATGGTTGTATAGTTTGGTCAGCATAAAAGTTACATGCATAGCAAGGTAAAACAGAGGTATCAACGCTAAAGGTATAAGCCCAAGGCTAACTTAAACACCTCCGAGTTATCAATAGGTTTGTTTGTACTTCTTGAGAAAAATTAAGAAAACAGTATGTGTATAGTCATTTAATGATGTTTAATGATAGATTGCTGGTACTGGATTTTCATACCTTCTACACCATATACTCAATACAAGATAATTGTCAAAATAAAAAGTTTTTTGATTGTAACGACACCTCAGTTCATAAACTAGCTTTGAAGTTATAAAATAAATCAGTGTTTTCCTAGTGTTTATCCAGTTCATTTTTACTACATTTTCTGGTAATTAAAGTTTGCACTTTTGCAGTTTTTAGTAAAAAACATTTTTTCCTCTTCATGTACACCCACATATATGTATGATAGTTATGAGCCAAGACAGGTTTCATAGATATTGAATTGAAGCTCATTGTATCTAATGGATGTATGGACATATGAACAATACTCCCCGAGACAAGGTTGTATCTATGGACGTATGGACATATGGACAACACTCCCCGAGACAAGGTTGTAGTATCTATGAATGTATGGCCATATGGACAATACTCCCCGAGACAAGGTTGTAGTATCTATGGATGTATGGACATATGGACAACACTCCCCTAGACAAGGTTGTATCTATGAATGTATGGACATATGAACAATTCTCCCCGAGACAAGGTTGTAGTATCTATGAATGTATGGCCATATGGACAATCCTCCCCGAGACAAGGTTGTATCTATGGATGTATGGACATATGAACAATACTCCCCGAGACAAGGTTGTAGAATCTATGAATGTATGGACATATGAACAATACTCCCCGAGACAAGGTTGTATCTATGGACGTATGGACATATGGACAACACTCCCCGAGACAAGGTTGTAGAATCTATGAATGTATGGACATATGAACAATACTCCCCGAGACAAGGTTGTATCTATGGATGTATGGACATATGAACAATACTCCCCGAGACAAGGTTGTATCTATGAATGTATGGACATATGAACAATACTCCCCGAGACAAGGTTGTAGTATCTATGAATGTCTGGACATATGGACAATACTCCCCGAGACAAGGTTGTATCTATGGGTGTATGGACATATGGACAATACTCCCCGAGACAAGTTTGTATCTATGGATGTATGGACATATGGACAACACTCCCCTAGACAAGGTTGTATCTATGAATGTATGGACATATGAACAATTCTCCCCGAGACAAGGTTGTAGTATCTATGAATGTATGGCCATATGGACAATCCTCCCCGAGACAAGGTTGTATCTATGGATGTATGGACATATGAACAATACTCCCCGAGACAAGGTTGTAGTATCTATGGATGTATGGACATATGGACAACACTCCCCGAGACAAGGTTGTATCTATGAATGTATGGACATATGGACAACACTCCCTGAGACAAGGTTGTATCTATGAATGTATGGACATATGTCCATACATCCATAGAGACAACCTTATCTCGGGGAGTATTGGTCATATGTCCATACATCCATAGATTGAGATGCCAGGTGTCCATCATGTGGTTGCCTTCAGTACACCAAATAAAGTTGGGGGAGTATTGTTTATATGTCAATACATTCATAGATACAGCCTTGTCTCAGGAGTACTGTTTATATGTCCATACATCCATAGAGACAACCTTGTCTCAGGTGTATTGTTTATATGTCTATACATTCATAGATACACCCTTGTCTCAGGGAGGGTTGTCCATATGTCCATCCATTCATAAATACAACCCTGTCTCGGGGAGTATCTATGGATGTGTGGACATATGAACTATACTCCCCGAGACAAGGTTGTATCTATGAATGTATGGACATATAAACAATACTCCCCCAACTTCATTTGGTGTACTGAAGGTAACCACATGATGGACACCTGGCATCTCAATTGCATTATTTAAAGACACAATTTAGGCAAGATATCTGGCAATAGAAACCACAAACCAAGGAGTAGGCTTCCGACACTTGTTTAAAGATGCTATCATCAGGACATTTGGTGTAGGTGGCAATACCGGCAGCATTGTCATCGTAGGGGTAGTTGGCCACTAGGGTGCCACCGTGGAGATTTGCTGACAGGACAAAAGGGTGTTTCTGAACCCATTCCATCACAGCAGTAGTCTCCACTTGCTGATGCCGATTGATTGAGTTGATGATATCAAATCTGTCAGGGAAGTTCCTGTTGAGGTCGATGTTGTTGTGGTTTTCACGTCCTCGCGTCCCAACACGATCTCCTGGGGAAGAGAAAAATACAACATTTACCGGTAAAGACACGTAGCAAAAAAAGTCTTCAAGGCTGTATGAAAAATATATCTATTACGTGTTCTCATATGTAATACTTTACAAGGCAATCAAGTCTGTTCTGAAGCTATCTTAACGCTCACATATTGGACGACACGACATACTCATAGATCACCAGAGGAACAAGCATGTTTTATGGCTTATCTAGCTGATGGGATGATGACTTCAAGCTTGTTCACACATCTGTTGGATCTCAAATGTTCAGTGGAACCCGCTTTTTATAATATTTGCCAGAGAAAAATATCATAATAACCAATATATCATAATATCCGATCAAGCTGTTTCCGATCGTTTTTATGTTGTCTGAACCGAAGTGAGATGCCCTATATAAGTCAGACACAGATTGATGTAGAAACATGGAAAAATATAAATACAAACTGATAAAGTAATAATTGAAATAATTTGTTCATTGTTATTTATATTAGCGTGTTGGAAAAATTCAAGGAGATTTCTTTTTGCCGTCATAATTATCAGTATGTAAATTCTACTTTCACTTTCAAATAACTTGTTGAGCATATTCCTAATAACTATCTTTATACTACATCCTAGCTAACGATATTGTAATGTTACAGTCAATAGGATCGAAGAAGTGACATAAATAGTCATGTTTTACCTTTTTGAAATGAGAAGTATACCGGGAATCTTTCACCTTACACTGGTAAAATCCATATTTGTACAAAGTTAATTTCGCTAATCACATTTGATTTTAAAGTTTATCATGTTGTTTGCTAATGTTAACTGTTATGTAGTTATTGAGGGCAGAAAAAGCAATGTTACACAACTGCAAAACATTTCTTGTGTACGTTAGATTCTAACTCACAAATGATATTCCAATAAGAAGCTTATTTAAATTCTGCAGAATGATATGTTTCAGAGTGTCTGATTGGTCAGGCAATATATGCCAAAGAAGCTGCATTACGCTGGAGATACATGTGAATGCTTGCAACCATAATTAATTTTGCTTTTGTTCCTTTGTCACAGCAGTACAATTGACTGACTGTTCAATAGACCATACAGGATCAGTTATGAACAAATGGACAAACTGAAAAATGTAATCATATAAAAAAAATTGTACCTTCTGTCGAGATCTCGTATCCATCTGGGTTCATGGAAGGCATGATGTGTATTCGTGTGAAGTTCACAAGGAGAGAGATGAAGTGATTGTGATTGTAATTTTCACACAGCAGCTGTATCAGGGACAGCAGCAACTCACGACCTACGACCTCGTTACCATGCATGTTTCCGATGTACTTAAACTCTGGCTCACCTGTAGTACACAGGTAAAAGTAAATCGTTATGAAGTAAGTCATAAATGAATTTAAATACAAAATCAAATCTGCATTGCGGTTTACATAAACAAAAAAATATCTATGCATTCAAAATTGTTCACACTGCTAGAATTAACCCTTTCACCACTGTAGACCATAATGGACTCATCCATATCAATACATGGTAGAGCTTGCTAAAGTTACATAGAGGTGAAAGGGTTATGAATATTCATGACATGAATAGTAATGGTATTTAACAGTATTCAATTTCAATGGTTTACATGTCCAAGTAAATGTCCCTGAAAAAGATGTAATTCTTGTAGAAAACCTGTGCTGTAGCTGATGTAGTCTAGAAATAAAAGACTGTGAATTTTCAAAAGAAATATTCACAAAATTTGCTCCCTAAAACACAACATTTTAGATGTCTATAGCTAGGCACTGATTACTCACAATCTTTTTCTCAATCCATCAATTCTTCCCAGTTCCATTAATTTGCATGTTGCTTATTAATTGCTTTTGTTTAAATAACGTCTTCATAAATATATTAACTTATAAGAATTAGTGAAAATCTTAAGCAAACTTTGCAGATGTATTGTTTGCTTAAAATTAACAAGTTTTTCATTAAATACAACATACAACCATTTAAATTTAAAAGAACTCACCTGGCTCGTGTATCCCTGGATTGTCAGAGATCTCCATGGTCCAGAGTTGTCTTCCTTCAACAGACAGGCCTATACTGTATAGACGTGTGATGTGAGGGTACTGACGATTCAAGTCCTCCAGGAAGGCCTGCAGATCAGTGTAGTCGTGATGCTTGAATTCTGCTGGCTCTATGAACCTGAGTTTCTCCCGATGCGAGGCATCACGAATTTTGTTGATGTGATTTACCAATATGTCTATGGTATCTGCCTCAGGTTCAGGGGATGTTGGTTTTGGGGTCGGTACTTTAGTCGAGGTCAAAGGGGCGGACTTCGGAGATTGAGATGGTGATGCACTGTGAATGAAATATACAGTAAAACACATTTATAATGATCCAAAGGAGACGTTAAAAATATCAGTACACTATAGGTGTAAATCTTTGTACATCATATATCTAGTCCTCACCAGATGACAAGCAATTAAAAACAACAAGAGGCCCAGAGGGCCTGTATCGCTCACCTGAATATCTAAGCAGTCATAGCAAAATATTCTTATTAAATATTATATTGCACTAAAAATATTTCCCTCGCACACCTTGTCAGCTCAATCTGTTGAAACTACCAGCCAAATATTATTTTAAGATTCTATGCTTTTTGATTCTTCTTCAGAAGTTGCTTGACATAGTTTTCCCTGTGACCTTATAAGTAGTTCAATGTCATTTTCCTTCTCAAATTGGTTAGCTCTATTCCAAAAAGCTACCAGCCAAATCTTATGAATCCATACCTTTTAGTTCTTGAGAACAAATCCTTTAAAATGTTGTTGACCTCTAAAGTAGGTTGAGGTCATTTTCATTTGCAAAATTCGGTGAGCTCTATCCCAGGATGTCACCAGCCAAATATTATAATTTCATGCCTTTTAATTCTTCAGATGTAGCTGTTTGAACCGTTTGACATATTTGAATGCTGCGACCTTGAAAGTAAGTCAAGGTCATTTTCATTCGCAAACTTTGTTGGGCTCTCTCCCAGGTAATAACCAGCCAAATATTAAGGTTCTATGCCTTCCAGTTCTTCAAAAGAAGTCATTTGAAGTGTTTGACATATCTGACTCATGTGACCTTAAAAGTAGGTCAAGGTCATTTTCATTCTCAAACTTTATTGGGCTCTTTCCCAGGAAGCTACCAGCCAAATATCTAGGTTCTATACCTTCCAGTTTTTAAGAAAAAGTCGTTTTAATCATTAAAATATCTGACTACTGTAACCTTGATTGTAGGTCAAGGTCATTTTCATTTTCAATCTTTGTCGGGCTTTATCCCAGGAAGCCACCAGCCAAATATAAAGAGTCTATACCTTTCAGTTCTTCAGAAGAAGTCGTTTTAAGTGTTTGACACATTTGACCCCTGTGACCTTGAAAGAAAGTTAAGGTCATTTTCGTTCTCAAACTTTGTTGGGCTTTATCCAAGGAAGCCACCAGCCAAATAGGAAGATTCTATAACTTTTAGTTCTTCAGAAGTCAGTTTTAGCGTTTGACATATTTGACCGCTGTGACCTTGAAAGTAGGTCAAGTTCATTTTCGTTCTCAAACTTTGTTGGGCTCTATCCCAGGAAGCCATCAGCTGAATATGAAGATTCTATACCATTTTGTTCTTCAGAAGAAGTCGTTTGAAGTTTTTGACATATTTGACCCCTGTGACCTTGAAAGTAGGTCATGGTCATTTTCGTTCTCAAACTTTGTCGGGTTCCTACCAAAGCTTTCAGTCAAATATCATGACTCTAGGCCTGTCAGTTCTTCAGAAGAAGTTGTTTAAAGGAAAAGTTGACGGACGAGGACTGACGGACGGACGATGGACGCCGCACCATGACATAAGCTCACTTGCCCTTTGGGCAAGTGAGCTAAAAACTAACACGGTTAAGTTACTCATCCTTTTTGTCAAGATAGATGTGACAGAGGTCCGGTGACATTTAATCCCTGACGAAGGGCTAAGCCCGAAAGCTTGGAAAAAGAGGGACTTTTTAGTTTATTAGTAAAAACAAACATATTTTACGAGAAAATGATAATATATATTGATCATTATTAATGATTTAACTGATAGTCTACTTCTTACTATGCAAGAAATTAGATTTAACTACCTCAGAATAATTAAATGATATCTTAGAGGTAAATGATCAGTAACAGACACAATTAGGCCATAATGAGGTAATGGAAATCAAGATTTATTTGATCAAATGATATTGATGAAAACTAATCTGTAAATGTAGATTAATTACAAGATGTTAAACATTTGTGAATCTTCAGGTGTTTTTTTTAAAATCTAAAGTGAACGAGGAAAAGCAAGGATTGAAGCAGGTTTGATTCCTAAAAACAAGCATTTGACAAGCATGTTTTCTGAATTGTCTGAATCTAAATTAAATTGAAATAATACAGAACAATAACTATGACTCAACTATTGATATTTCATGTCAAAAAGCAAGGCAAGTGCAATCATTGATTAATTTTGAATAGGTAAAAAAAATAAAGAGGATTAGTCAATATAAGAAACATTCATATACCTAACAGTACAGAAAAACCAGCCTCAGAGAAAATGCATGCCAATTCCATTCCCGGTACTACATGATTTATTTGATATCAGTTTCCAATTACCAAGGATTGGTGAAAAAAGCTTCTGTCTAGAAAAATCTGGACAGTCAGAGATGGAAAGGATACGGGATTTACTAAGGTACAAGCATTTCCAAAAAGTCCTACCAGTTCCCACTTCAAAGTGAATAAGAAATCAATACAAGAGGCCCAGAGGGCCTGTATTGCTCACCTGGATATCTAAGCAATCTTGGCAAAATATTCTCCAAATAAGATCCAAGGGAATGGGCAAGACCCTAAGGCCAAACCTTGAAGCATATCTGTATTAGATTGTTCAGGCCCAGCAAGTTTATGTATGGTTATGGGGTGGGGATCTCAACTGTTTCCAAGCTGTGACTAAGAAACTAGGTCCCTAGGGTTGTGGCCAGACCCCAGGGTCAATTCTAATATCATGACTGCATTCGTCTCTTTCTTTATGCCCAACAATTGTATATATAGTTTTGGGGTGGGAATCTCACCGTTTCAAAGTTATGACCCAGGGGTTAAATTTGCAAGGGTGGGGCAGATCCCGGGGTCAATTCTAATATCATGACAGCATTTGTCTTTTTATGCCAAACAATTGTATATATATTTTTGGGGAGGGGATCTTAACCGTTTCATAGTTATGACCCAGGGGTTAAGTCTCCAAGGGTGGGGCAGTTCCTGGGGTCAATTCTAATATCATGACAGCATTTGTCTCTTTATGCCCAACAATTGTATATATAGTTTTGGGGTGGGGATCTCAACTGTTTCGAAGTTATGACCCAGGGGTTAAGTTAAAGCAAGGGTGGGGCAGATCCCGGGGTCAATTCTAATATCATGACAGCATTTGTCTCTTCATGCCCAACAATTGTATACATAGTTTTGGGGTGGGGATCTCAACTGTTTCGAAGTTATGAGCCAGGGGTTAAGTCTCCAAGGGTGGAGCCAGACCCCAGAGCCAACCTGGAAGCGTATGTGCATTCTTCTCTTTATACTCAGCAATTGTATATATGGTTATAGGGTGGGGATCTCAACTATTTCCAAGAAGAAGTCACTTAACTCAATCACCCCTGAAGATAAATTTGAACTCTTCCAATTCAAAGGCTGGAATAGTTCATTATGAGCAATACAGCCAAATTGCCCCCTTTTGGCCCCGCCCCTTAGCCCCCTGGGGAGTCAGCCCCACCATTTGTACAATTTTAAATACCCACCACCTAGTGATGCTTCCAGTCAAATATGATAAATAGCTATCGCATAGTTCTACAGAAGAAGTCGTTTATAGCAATATAGCCAAATTGCCCCCTTTTGGCCCCATCCCTCAGCCCCACCATTTGTAACAATTTTGAATCCCCACCACCTAGGTATGCTTTCAGTCAAATTCCAATCAGCGGTTAGGAAGAAGAAGTCGTTTGAAGATATTGTCGACGTACGGACGACCAACACTAAGGTACAGCATAAGCTCACCTTGGTCCTTCAGACCAGGTGAGCTAATAATAAATAAACACTTGTAAACAGGATAAAGAATATAAACAATATGCCAGTGACACCACCACCAACATGCTCTATTTAAGGAATTGGGATAACTAACTTTAAAAAGTCCTCATACAGATTCGTTGAAATTGATAACAGGGAAGTTATTACATGTAGCTAATTTGCTTATGTCAGAGACAAAAATTGACATACATTTTTTTTTGAGATGGAGACAAAATTAGGGAGGGTGCTTGATTGCAGGCACCCACCCTGTTCCCAGGACATTTACCAAAGTGGGGAGGGGCTTATTTGCGAGAGGGGGCTTATTTGCGGTAAAATATGGTATGTGTGAAAACTAACAATCAGATTATATTATGCTAATAAGGTAGAGGCTATGTGATAATGCATGTACAATGTGTTGGGAGGGGTTCTATGATGAATATAACAGGGATCTACCTCAGTGTCTCAATGGAACGTAAAGATCTGAAACAGAAATATTAATAGGAAATTGAAATCATTAGTTTGCTAAATGGCAAACAATTTGAAACATTAGGACAGGTTCCATATTTCAACACAAGCTTAACCCTTTCACCACTGTAGACCATAATAGACTCATCCAGAGCAATGCATGGTAGAGTCTACTAAAGTTACATAGGGGTGAAAGGGTTAAGGCAATAGGTAACAGAGTATGACATTAGTGTTAGTTAACCCTTTCAACCCTAAGTAACTTTAGTAGTCTCTGCCATGCATCGATCTGGATGAGTCCATTATGGTATACAAAGGTAAAACGGTTAAGAGAATCCACAGGGATCTTGGCACCTAGCATTGTAAGATCTTTTTATTCAAACGGCTCCTTTCTCTTTTTATCTGTACAGTAAACATATATCATGTATTCACTTGATCAAAACCTTGGTGTTGCTCGGGTTTAATATTGTCCTTGCAGAGTGAGGCTGGTTGAAGTTGACATATGGACAAGGATAGTGTATTATGAATAGCTAGGGAACAGGAAGAATCTATTATAAATGAAATTTGAGAAATCTGAGAAGGTAAGTATAACTTTTTTAAGAGTAAACAAAGTAAAGTATTGCAAGGCAATCCAGTCCCCCACCAGTCCATAATTCCTCACTATACTACCACCAATTTGCCAATATATTTCTGAGGAATGAGAAAAGAGAAGGGACCTTGAAATAAGTTTTAGGTGAAACAAGGGACATTATAAAGAAGATTTACTGTAGAGAAAACTTGGTGACTAGGTTATTAAATATTACTGGTCAATAAATCTCTCCTGTATGCCTCGGCTACATGTGCATTAAATCTCACCTCTCAGCTATATATGTATTCTGTGTACTGTAAATAAGAACAATTTTCGGGTGTGTTAATATATGCATTGTAACTATTAAACTGATCGCAGAGTGGAACTTTTCACTTTGTCACTGGTTGAAATCTATATACTCTATATAAATGCAAGCAGGAACCAGATTATTTAGACTCAAATGTAAAGTTGAAAAGGTTCATCACTAATACATACCCTGCAACACTCCGCTTGTTCAGTTTAAAGTTGACAGGTGTGGCTGCTCCATCTATAACCACTACAGACATTGATGATGCCTCGTACCTGTTAACAGAAACGAAATGCTATAATAAACACTTCCATGACAGCAGTGACTGGATACTGCAATATCTCACACAACAACCTGCAGATATACAAGCATTTTTCACAGTCTTAATTCTAGTAATAATTTTGCATTCCAGAAACATTTTGTTCTATTGGAAAATTAAGAAAAAACCCTTTTCCCCTCCATCCTAAAACCTTTGCTATGATTATTGTTTCATCAGCTAAGAGATATTATAGCAACTAGATATTTTTATGATAACATCATACTTAGTGTAAAAAAAATAAATCTTTCTTATTCTTTTAACTTAAAGGGGCTGGTCGGGGAAAAAATGTCATATTTGCTAAAATGGCATACACATGTTTAAAATACCTTCTTATGAAATATACAGATACTAATTTTGCTGAAATTCACTCCCTTAGAGTAAAAAATATAATTATATTAAAGAAATCCTAAATCGTCACCTGACAGTCTAAAACTCTCAATTGACCCAGATCAGTGATGTAATTTTACCACACGCGCGTCATCAACAAGGCCGAATGTAAACATCGTGGCAAAAGAAAAAGATGCATGCAAAAGTCATGACAGGCACGAAATATCAATACCGTTATATATAACAACAACATATAGGTAGGAATACTACACTTGCATCATACATGACCTTTGAAAACAATTATTTACGTATCGTATTGCTGTCTTGTCCGCTAGTAGAGTCCGACATGGCACATGACGGCGTGCTATTGTTGTTATCTTCACTGCCTCACTTTCGAAACAACCACGTGACATATATAAATAGATCGGCGCTAAATTTACTCGGGGCTTCCCCGAGATTTCAGTGGTCAAAACTGGACATAGCAAGCAGAAATTGACCATCATATTGCCGTGGTATAACTTTTGGAAGGCCAGAGAACGGATTTAGACCCATTTATTTTGTAATTTTTTCCCCGACCAGCCCCTTTAAACTTACTAGTAATCCAAGTTAATGTCACCGACTTCTTTCACTCTTTTGGGGGGAAAGAGACACAGTGACAGCGAGCTAGGGGGACATCAGGTAAGAGAGAAAAGGGAGAGCCTATGAGGGAGACGGGGGTCCTGATGTTTTCCATTTATTAGAATGTCTCCATGTGACCAGCTTCTGATAATTTTTAGGGGTCAAATTTGAGTTCCAATTTTGTCATTGTGCATGTTGACAATGTAAACATATATGTTTAGCACTTAGCATTAGCATTTATTATATTTTTCTGTTTGCCTGAAACACTTTTTCGTATCTTCCAAACAAAACATAGAACATACCACAGGTATTTGAAATTAAAACAGAATGGACTTTTAATTTAAATGATTCTCAGTAAAATACTATGTATGTATAATCCTATGTTTGCTTATGTATTGTTGTGTCAATTCATGGCGTACCCTTCAGCCACTGCTGATAAAGTGTAGGTGCCGGGGACCAGTAGGCGCCAGTAGTCTCCATAGCCAGCTGTGGTGACGTTGTGATCTATTCTAGCCACCATTATCACAGCATTTGGAATACCTGTGTTAGTCTCGGAGTCCCTAACGAATCCCTTAACTCCCTTGTGTACCTGGAAATACAGAAATAGACAGAAAATAGAATTAAAGTTCATTTACAACAATAATAAACAACTTTTTCCAACTTATATACATCACTCTTGCTACCCAGATGAAAGTGTGCAGATCTAGAGGGTCTTAAGGTGGAGAAAACCCACATGGTTGAGCAGGTGCCAAATACCTTTTCACATCCAATCTGGGATTCTATGTGGCAATATATACATTAGTAAGTGTATTGTCATGAGAAATATCAATTATATAGATAGCAATGTAATATATTTATAGATTTTGGATCGTCAGGTGGTACAGTGGATAGTGCACTTGAGCTTGCCATTCACCAAGATACCCCAGGTTCAAATCCCAAATTGTATCATTACACAAGCTACTGGCAATGCCCCATCATACATGTCTTCATTTGACCTTAATTAGCTGTTGGCAGGACATCAAACCCCAAACAAACAGAAATACTATACTAATACTCAGAACCATGATAATACAGTACATGAACCATCATTGTATTATATCATTATAGATATTTGGTACTTTGTGATTTACTGATAATAAAAACTGTACAGTGAACACACTAGCAGACAGCAGATATCACTATCCCACTGTTACACCATCACTGTGAGGAACAGATCTAGAGAAATGCCCTTCCCTGTCAACAACTGTTAATTATATCTGTATTGAAGTACATGTACGTATACTAGATAAAAGGGTTTAATTGAGTTCCTGGAGAAATGAAAATAAAAGGAATGAGACAGGGAATATTATTCAAAAGAACGTTAGTGTCACATTTAAACATTAAATTGAAGTTTCAGATCAAATATAATAATTTAAACAGAATCTTACACACAATCAAATGACTTCATTAATAGCAAGTATGTCCAGGGAGCATAAATCAATATAAATGTTCATAATTGTTGTTATATGCATGTAAATAGTTGTATTTAGGTATAGTTCATTACATATAAACAGCTGTTACTTGCACACTGCAAGCTGTTATGTATATCAGAGGACAGAATATCTAATCTCTACCTGTCTCTATATTAATATCTATGTCCGGGAACAATCTCTAACCAGAATATAATCACGAGTATGGAACGATACACACCAGTCAAATACAATGTGTAGTATCTACTTCAACTCATTGTCTACAATGATCAATGACTGAAATGTAATGATTGCCTGTAGGCAGCCTGGAGAGCTAGCTTGTGAGGTGTTGAACATGCAGATCTTCTTAACAAAAATCTGCCATGTTTATAATATGATGCACACTAACAGCATTTATAAAGGGGGGCAGTAATGTGGAGGTTTTAATCATGAATAGGATTACGTTTGCCTTCTAGCTTCGTTCTAGAGGGAATTTTCCTGTAGCTCAGTGGAAGAGCACCCGGCTCAGGTGTCACAGGTTTGATCCCTGGTGGCAGCACATGACCACTACTACATATATAGCTATCTTTCCTGTTACACAAGCTTCACAGTGTGGATTCTACATTATGTAACAAATCATATTTGCAAAATCGTACATTTTGGTATCACATAATACATGTGTAATAAATTAATAGCAGTTTGATTGAGTTCTTAAAAGCATCTAAATAATACAGTACTCGTACAAACATTGTGTAATTAGAAACTTAAATATCTTGTTGACAATGGCAGGTTGTGACACCTAATATCAACCATGGAAAGGAAACGTGAATAGATAAAAGATACACAGCTCCAATTCAATAGATTCACCAGACCGAATCACATCCAATGCCTAACAGGTATATGTAGACAAGGTAGTACCTACACATGTACCCTAGCTAGTATTTGACGTTAGGATAGATTCACTAGACCGAATCACATCCAATGCCTAACAGGTATATATATATATTGTCACAACCGACAACATATTTTTCAGGTACAGTAGTAACTAGCACACTGTACCTAAACCCTTCCTAGCTTGAGCTATCTTGTATCTACCCTAGTCATATTTGTTTCCCTCTGGCTGTATACTACTATACATGGTATATAATATGTGAGACTCTCTGTATGGCAACTACATATATAGTGACCATACTTTCCTATCCTGTTGATATAAAATAACAAATCATCATTAAGATTTTTTTAGAGGTTCATGTAGGTCTATATCTGTAGAGCAGAAAATTGATGTACACTCAGTGATTTTTTAGAGTGAATTTGTGGCCATTATACTAAGCTAGGCCTCCTTCTCTTAGAAAAATTCTACATTATTTTTTCTATAATTCTCATGTAAAAATCATATATTTTCCAAAAATCATATTGTATGTATGTGCAACATTTTCCCAAAGTTACAAGGGGCCCCTGTGAAAAAGAGGTAGGAAAATCACTGACATTATAAACAAATAGTGAATAATAAATTATATCTGATTGACAAAGGTAAATGAGAACCTCTCAGATGATATAGGAGCTTGACTGTACAGTTATCTTACTGTTCAGCAAATAGAAAGTCTTATGCATGTACATGAATGTTATATATATAAATATAAAGATTCCTCATGAACTTAATGTTTGGAAAGGAATCAATTTTATTTTTTGGGCATAAATGGAATGTGTAGCTCTTGTGCAGAATTCAGTTTATTCCTGCTTTTGTCCTGCTTTTTTGCCAGCCCTTGCTGTTACTGATGACGTCATTTGATTGTACATTCAGGGTTCTCCCCAGGCCATTTAGCTGATACGGCACGGTATCAGCTTCAGTTTGATATCCTCCCTGCTGTATCAGCTTAATTGACCCGTATCACCTTAGACTATGAATGATTGATTGATTGATTGATAGGTTTTACGTCTGCTTCACTACCGAGTTCGGTTATCCACTATGAACGGTCTCACCTTGTTATTTGTACTGAATAGGGTCTTTTTACACAAGAATTGACACTGATTAAATCACAAGGCCCAAGTCCAGCAATGACCCCACTGGTCAGTTGCAAGATAGGCATATTATGGCCACAGGGGCCTGTAACTAGTGGGAAGGGGGACCGGACGACAATCCCACAGGTGTCCGGCAAGCGTGCTCACTGGAGCCTAAAGCAGGATACAAAATATAAAGAGTTATATCTATTATTCAATGTACAAAACTATTACACCTTTCTATAAATTGTATTTTATTTTAGAATATTTAAAACAATGATATTGCAGGAAATTCATACAAAAAGAACAATTATAATTATTTATTTATTTGGCTTTAAAGTTCATCAAAAGTTTGGTAAATAAAAGTACCTATTTAAACATAATATTAACCCCTCCCCTAAATTTAATAATGTATTATTGAGCATGTCCGTCTTGAATGTTCATTGAAAATGAAACATATCAGCTTAAAAAAATTATGGGGAGAACCCTGACAGTATGGCATTATGTCATTCAAGCAAACCTTGTTTTTACTGTTACCATGGTAAAGCACTGCATTTTTAACTTTATACCTGCCTTTTTGTATTTAAATTTGTTCTAATGACGACACACCTGATGTGTCGAAACTATCCAACATTAACTGGATTAAAGACATTATACCCAGCAGGAAGTGGTTGTCATGGTCATCTTTTCCTTTTGAATATTTGACATTTTGTAAATGTTGACTTAGATTATTCAAACTCTCTTTTTTTAGAAGCCACATATATTTTTTTGCCATTCCAACAGGTTGTTCAATATACTTTTTTTCTCTTTAAACTGACAGAAAGTTTACTGTAAATACAGTATTCTTAATGAATATATATTTTTTTTATCAGGACTAATATGTCTATCCACTTGGCAGAGCCCCCCCCCCCCCCTCCATTGTACAGGGGGCAATACATTTATATAAGCATATGTAAGATGCAATTATGGTCGTAGTTTGTTTGATATACTTTACGGAAAACAAAATTAAACACAATTAGAGGCCCATGGGCCTAAATGGTTACCTGAGTAAAATCTGAAGTACTCAAACTAAAGCATGTTCATTTTTTTTAAATTGGCACATAGTTACTTTGGAGAGATGACATACACCCATGCTAACCTGCAGGAGACCAGGCATACACATGCTGTATATTGATTGTGTAGAAGATATGCCCCGGACAAACTTTTTCAAAAGTTAAGGTCAAAGTCAAAGCATAGGTCACAGAAATGACCTTCTTGCACTCTGCCCTCCGCCATCCCAAGATGTCCTTGTACACCAAATATGGTTACTCCAGGTGAAATAGTATAGAAGATATGTCTTGAAAAACTTCTTAGATGGAAGACAGACAGAAGGAAGGACAGATGGAGTAAAAACCTATAGTCCCCACTGAGAACCAATGGGGGACTAATCACAAGATAAAAGGTAACACATGAAGAAGGATGGCGATAGGGCTCCATGATCTATGGTCAGGTGAACGAAAAACTTAATGATAATGATTACAGAAAAGTGACATGTGACGTGTCCCGTCAAGACATTTACCAAAAGTGGTTAAATAGTCATTATGTGGCAATCACCCACGTTTTTTCCAATGCTCTAACAATGATTTCTTCTACCAAGAGTAATTATAGGAAGAATGTACCTGTACCTGAAGCTACATTATAGCCTTACCTCACTTCATAATACAAGGTTTCCGCTCTCAAGATATATCTTACAGCATCCTTAGAGAATGTCATGACAAAATCAAAGGCTCACAGTAAGCTATTTGACTGGTTTCGGGTATAAAAAATTACCGTTGCTAGGCCGATACCTTTCCTTTGGAGATTACAGAGAGGTGACACCTGACTTCAAAGCCAGTCCACTGAACCATTATGCTGAAGCACAAATATTTTTATCAATCCACAAGGTACATACTTGCCAACTTTTTGAAATTTCCATTGGGGAGTTTACGCATGTTCAGAATTAAAAGCATAAATAAAATGTGTTTATGAATGTAGCGGAACTGGACGGGGGTCAACCGTAGGAGACCAGGTAGCTCAATTGGTAGAGCATCTGTCTAGAGTTCAGAGGGTCCTGGGTTCGAACCTGCATTGTCTGGCCGTGCATTTTTCCTGTCCTGTTAATGTGTCTTCGTACACTCTAGGGAAAAAATAACACTTTCAAATGGCATCGTTTGAGCTATTCTTTCAGGTAGAAAACAAAAATATTTAAAAAAAAAATCACTAGTTGAGAATGCTCACTTTTGGGGTCCAAAATCGGGAATCTCCCTCCTAAATTGGGTGTGCAAGTATGGGGGTATACAGAGCCTTTAAGTTAGTCATGAAATATTACAAGGCCTAGGGTACAAAAAAGATACATGTCTTAAGAGAATTAAAGCCTTGGATTTTGATGATGGTCTCACCAGTGATATCTAAATGTATGATTACTACTGTACCTCCTCCATGTAAGCCATGAGAGATTCTTTATTGTTGGTCCATTCCTTTTCCAATTCTTTTTCATATGGGTATTTACAGCAAGACAGTTCAATGGTAATTTCAAAACAATTACTGTAAAGGTAGTTATAATCCTGCATCCCACCTGAAATAGTAAATGGTTATACTGTACAAAATATATATACAATGATTTTTTTTTATCAGGTAACACTAACTTGTCATACCAATAAAACTTAAATTTTAGGTTAAAAAAAAAACATATTGGAGGAAAATCACTTTACTTTAGTTTCTAAGCATTACACACACTGTACTTGTATACACAAGTATGTTTGTTTACATATTTTAATTAATATATAGTACTATTTTACCTGGGACATCATACCAATAGGCACCATTTGTAATACCATCCACAAAATGATCACCATTGCATACACTTCCTTCGTGCATTGTTCCATGATTCTTAGCATAGGTTTTTGCCAGCTGTTTAAATACTTCATCGTCAGGTGAAGCACTGTAATGTCCACTTGCTTTGTGGACAGCTGAATCGTCGTATGGGTAGCTAGCAACGACGCTCCCTCCATGCAGGTTCGCAGACAAAACAAATTTATTAGCATTAATCCAATTCATCAATGCTCTCGTTTCGTTTTGTTCCGGATGCGTCTTTAGCTTGGTGATCGGAAATTGGTCTGGAAAGTCTCGATTGAGATCAACCCTGTTATTATTTTCTCTTCCTAGGGTCCCCGTACACAGTCCTTCCCTGGCTTCGTGGAAACCATCGGGGTTCATCGTTGGCATAATGTAAATATTTGTTTCGTTGATCAACTTTGTTACTCGTTCATCTTTTCCGTAATTTCCCAAAAGATGCTCAATTAGATTTATAAGTATCTGTCTACCAATAACTTCATTTCCATGCATATTCCCGACATATTTGAACATGGGTTTGCCCGGTTCCGCACCATTATCGCTGTTTTTAACGTTTTTTGTTATCTGTAATGCTACTATATCTCGATTAACTACGCTTTTACCTATATAATGAAGGCGAGCTATGTGTGAATACTGTTCGACTTGTTTTCCCAATGAAAGCAATAATTCATCATGGTTGATGTATTTGTAGGTATGTTTAATTTCCTTTATCGGACTGTTATTAGGTATGGCACTCGATACACTCACAAACATCAAAATTATAGTAAATAAAACACAACTTAGCCTTTTACAGCTGTCTGTCTTCCAGGCTTTCGCCATGTTTTCGTGTGGAAGTTCCGGAAAGTAGCGGTTAGTATAAAATCGTAATTGTTACCAACAGAAGAGAAATGGAGTATTTTTTGAAGAATTAAATTTTATCGACAAAATTATGTTAATAATGGTATGAAGTTTGTTTTTCTAAAAAAAAGTATAAAAATCCAGTTAATAGCATGCAAATACTGATATAAACATAAAAACATTTTAGTAAAGTCTTTTTCCGTAAGATAAATTTCTACATTTTGAAAAATATATACGATCCTTGTTGACAAAATCTGTAATTTTGATTCGCCAGAAATGTGAGGTCAAAGGTCATGACACCTGTTTGCAAACACGTTCCACATCAGCAACAGGTGTATTAGCTGATTAGGTAGATCTTACAGAAGCCCGACTAACAACAGATGTTCACGTGTGAACTATGGTTAATGATGTGCTACTCTACGTCCCTAATATCATAGGTAAATGCATGACACCAGCTAATATACACAGTACACTTACTCACAGTGGCTCAGCATCAATGGATTATTGTCTTATTGAATTAAGTTAATAAACCCCAATAGGACTATTGCACTATTGTTTTGTGATGTTGCATTTGTAGCGTCACGTTGACTTGGTCTATTACAAGCTACCAGGTAATAAGCTCATCAATTGGCCAATAGGAAGTGTGTCCATCGACTCCAGAGTCCGGAGGATCCAGGTTTAAATCCAAGTCTGGTCGTGTATTTCTCTTTAGTCCCAGCCACTGTTACAAGATTGGTACCAACCTTTGTTTCAAGCATTGTTGTATGCTTGGCGAGGGGAAACCTGAACCTGGGTTGTAAATAATGATGTTTTGGGTGTGAAGACGGGAGGAATGAAGCAGGACTGGGTTGGTACTAGTACTATAAGTATTAGTACCTAGCCTTATGATACAATATATAAAAATTGTCTTGCTGTCAGAAGCTACGTTATTGCAGCTAATTTGGTACAAGAGTGTCCATCTAGAGTTTGGAAGGTCCTGGATTCGAATACCAGTCTAGCCAATGTTATATAGAAGGAAAGCAATAATATGTAAGTCCAGACCTCTTCTTTTTCCAGTGCAGGAGAACTGAGTCTTCTGAGATTGTCCTACTTGATCCAGCTGACCCGAACAGACCTGATTCAAACCTACATAGTGGAAATTCAAACTGTAGATGGATGCTTTAACCAAATGAGCTTACCTGGTTGCCATGCAGCGATCAACCCGTTTCAGTTCCACAACACTCCCCCTCCGTTTTTTATAAGTCTTTATATAATTATTCACCCTAGCTCAGGTGTACTGTGATGGTAAAGAGTTTTGGTGATATTTTAGATGCATTGTATATATAGGTACTGTACAGTACTTCACAACAAGCGAGTATATATGATGTCCATGCTAAACCTTTCTTTTGACCAGTTTCTAACTCAATTATTAAAATTGAATGGTCAGTAAGAGTATCATTACAGAGGCTGTTTGGCTATAGGTTAATTAAGTTATGTCTGTATATTTGTAATAACAATGATTACATAATAGGAGAATGCAAAATGCACAGCCTGACTGGATTTCAAACGGGCTCACCCGGGACGCTATACCAATTAATTATAAACTACCTGGTCGCAAACGATCAACCCATGACCAGTCCAGTTTGGCTACAATATTAATTGTATACATTCAGCTGACAGTCAAAGGGAGATAATTGTATGTCAATAATATATACAACATTTGATATAGTGCCCTATTTAGCTAGAATTAGCTATTTTAAAGCGCTTTACAATGCATAGATATACAATTTATACAGTCAATACAACAAGCATATACATTGATCAATATTGAGGAATTTGCAGAAGCTGCCGTATCATCTCCCTATGCCTGTATGCCTTGCGTGTGTGCTGGAGATGTAATTTGTTTTGTTTGAAGTGGGACAGATACTGCAACATCCACCCCAGACCAATTGTCAATTTCAATACTTGATTATATAAATAATGTGTGTTTGTTAATTTGAACAGATACATATCAGATCTTTGTTGTTTCCTGAATGAAAATAAAAAGAAGAAAAATAACACATCATTATGGAGCATTTTAATTATGCACAGTATAAGGTTCTTAGATTACCGATGTATTTAGACAGGTCACTGATAGTGTAGACCTAACGTATGGGGCTGTCTTTGTTTGTGGTGTATGGGGATATAACTAACACCAAATGGCCAACTTTTAATTTCTCGGACTGAAGATGGCTGCCATAACCCCTAATTGGCTGAGACAGCAATAGTAACCTGAGTTCTATGGGGTTACTTTTGTGATACTATGTTGGGTTGATAATATATATGGACTCTGTATTTAAAAGCTGACTTTTATAATTCTGTATTTAAGATGGCCTTTGATTGTTTGAGACAATAATGGTTATAACTGGAGTTCTATTATTGAGTGCCAACTTTCTTATTACTGTGTGGCAGTATTACAATGTACACAGGGGTTAAGTCTTTATATTTAAATACAGACTGTTTATTTTCAGGATTTAAGGTAGCCCATATATGGCCTCTGATTGGCTGAAGCTTTAAACATTTCATTGATCTGGATTTGGAACTTAACAGTAGACCCATATATAGACAATGACCATGCATATGGGGAACACTGTAGGTCTATGGGAATCGTTCATTTCATCTAGACCAAGACTTCTATTATTTCCTATGATGGATTTTATTCTGAATGACAAGTATACAAAGGGCCTTAGAGTAATTCTACAAATCATATAGGGCACTATATAAATGTTGTATATTATCAAGCACTAAAGGAAACTAAGTAGAATATTCTTGGTGAAAGTCTGGACTAAAACCATTTAGTAGATCTATAAGAACTCAATATTACATAGACCTATTGTCTTTGGTGTGTAAATTCTAAGACTGCTTCCTTCTTTTGATCTATTTCTGTTAGTAGTGTTAGATGGTGGGTTGGTTATATAATTAGAAGGGGGCAAAAATGGCTTTGATTTAACCATTTCCTGATTAGCTTATATTAACAGCAAGGAAAATTAAATTTAAAATATTTAAACTGCAGCATAGCAACTCAAATTTTTTATCTGTATAAAACATTTTGAGATATTTTTACAAAAGATTATTTAATCATCAGTTGACTAAATGCTCATACTTGCCAACTTTTTGAAATTTTCATGGGGGAAGTTTTGCATGCTCAAAATTGAAAATTAAAAATTGTGTGTATTTACCCCTAGAGACAAACTAACATGCTTAAATGACCTATTTTGAGTTGTTCTTTCAGGTGACATCATCAGATCATCTTAGAATATAGGAACAGGTTAGCAAATTAACTGTTTGAAATACTAAATTTACTTAAAAGGGTCCATAATCTGGAGTTGAAATCTCCCTCCTAAATACTAGGGAGAGTAGGCAAGTTTGCATGCTTTTAACATGTGATCCCCATCCTTAAAGGTTTTCCTCCTAAATGACCTTCTATGACCTTATTCCCTTTCTTGAAAAAGTCAAGGTGCTTGAGGTGGAAGAGAGATGGTTTTATGATAAATCTTATCTGACATTTTTTTACACTTCAGAATTTTAATGTTATCTGTTCCAGGGTATGCTCGCCTGTGTTTACTTGCCCTGAGCATCAGCACATTTGATTGGCCAGTACTGTTTCTCATCTTCTACTGTGTCTCGGCTATTTTGGACGGTAGGTTACCTAAATGTTAAGCCACCATTTTGAAAATGTTGTGTACCTAACCCACTGGACTGGTATATGTATGTTTACATTGTATTTGTTTTAACCATATCTATTCCACTCTTTAAAATTTGAAATAAGTTTCTACCTAATTTTACAACAACAGATATCTTAGAAAACTTGTCATACATGCATGTTACAAAATGTATCAAAACATTGATTTAAAAGAAGAAGAACTTTTGAATAAGTTTCAAAACTGGTGTTCATCTCATGTTTGTACCCAAGTCACATTTCCACACTTCCTGTGAATACAATTGTCAGTGATCAACCATAGGAATTTAAGTGTGAAAGTATTATTGAGACATAAATATTGGCGATTTTCTGTTGAATTTGCTTAGAATTCTTTTTGGAAAGACACAGATACAGTGGCACAGTAGGATATCAATCCATAAGAAACTGTTTGATTGGAGCATTTTACTGGAAACATATATATTTAAGGATTGACCTTCATTTTGACGGTGTATACAGTAGTATGAACGCAGTTGGCAACAAAAATATTCTTTACGGATCGCTTAACTGCGTTCATACTACCGTATACGCCGTCAAAATTGGGGTCAATTCTTATATTTACATCCTAAAAATGTTTAAATGTTACAATAAGCAAAAACAACAGTCGAAGCGGGTTGCTACAATGGTATCTACGTTTGCCAGGTTGCTATGATAAAATAGTTCCAGTGAATCTACACCGATATATGAGTTGATTAAGAAAATTCACCGTGACTAACACTATATTTTTCCTTTCATAGCTTTTATATTTTAAATGAAGCAATTTGAGATGCCTTTCGCACATTGTGTTCATTACAACTGTAATGTACGCTCATTGAGGGACGCGGTCGATTGTTTCGGAACGTCATGTTTATGTTACCGTCAAAGATATTTGAATGTGTATCCATGGAATAAGAAGAAAGTTTGTCAGCATCAGTTTGATGTAAAATTAGACATAGTGGATCCCCAATAGGTTCCATGTATCTAGATGGTGAGGGAACCAACCAATGGTTGTCATATTGGACTGTTATCTCGCTGAAGCGTTAACGACGCCATATTTGAAACAGGTATCAGATTTCTTTAAATCCTTCTCCTTCTGTACCATTGGAGGGATTTTCAGCACATTTGGTCTAGAGCATCCTTGAGTAAAGGGGACTCATGTTGGGTTTTTTTTTATAAATGGAGGGTATTGGTCCTCTTTTGGGCAGAGGGTAGGGTCCCAATAGGGGAAATTTAGGTAAATCTTAAAATTCTTTTTCGTTCAGTATGATTTGAGTTATTTTAACTGAATTTGGTCAAGAGA